AGAGATAAATTACAGGTAATTTTAATTACTGGGAGTTTTGAATAATTTGATCCCAAATAAACAAGGGCAGGACAGCCGAATTAGAAAAAAAAAAAAAAAATTTTCATAATAATCATGAATTAGAACAAAAAGTAATTGTTGTGAAGAAAATAATAAAAAATTTAAAATAACTATATTTTCTATTAATAGTAAAAAATTTTGTTTATTAATAGTTTTACTTGTTTCATAATGATTCAATAAGACTTGTAGTTTCTTATAACCAAAATTTAATAATTCTTTTTTGTCTAGCTATTCTATAGGGTTCAAAATTTTTATTGCTGCAAGTAAAGGTTAGTCTGGAAAATATTTCTTAATTTGTATAATAATTATACTTGCATATTTATATATATCTTGTAAAAGATCATTATAATCACAGCTATTATATACAAGCAAGTGAGTAAAATAATCTGTATTAGATTGTTTATTGAACGAGTTCATATAATCAAAAAAAACTGAAGACAATAACTCAAATAGGAGCTTTGATCGTCTAAATTTTTAATAATATAATCTTTTTGATACTTGTAATAGTAGCATCAATCATAGGAATAATATTATGAAAATAAAGATTTTGTTTTTAAAAGAATTTATTCAACAGTACTAATTGTCTAAGAACATTATAAATAAAATAAAGAAAGCTTAGTAATCACTAATTATATAATCATTGATATAAATTTTTAGCAATATTACTATAATCATTACAAAGTTGTAAAAGAGCAGTAGGTAATATTTCTATAAAATTTTTTACTGCATCATATCAGCCAAGCTATCGAATATCTTTTAACTTTTTAAATATAGCTCTGGACAATTAAGAATTTTTTGATATTCTTGAAAAACATGTATTCATAGAGAAGAATTCTTGTAAAATTTATATATATTTTTTAAAATAGCCTTAGTATTAATAAAGCAATTAAATTGCTTTTGTGTATTTTTACATGCTAATGCTAACTGATGTGTAATGCAGTAATTATAAACAAGATATAGACATATTTGAAATAATCTTTGAGTAATACCACTTTTATTTTTAATCATTATTAATATACTATCTAATGCTAAAGCTACAAGTTTATCTATAACATCTATGTATAAAAAAAAACTTTAAATATTTATTTATTTAATAAAAATATCAAAGATATATTTATAAACTATATATAACTCTGAAATAATTTAACTATTTTAGTAGTTATTGTTTCTGTATCATATTTATTAAGTGCAAGCAATTGCAAAAAATATGTTGTAATATTTCCCAAAGCAGTTAGATACATTACATAAATATCAAGATGTTTATTCATTATAATATCTGAACTTTTATCAATTATGATTTCAAAAGACACGGCTTTACTAATCTCTTTCCAAATTTTAGTTTTAGTAGTATCTGAAATAGCTAATACAATTTCACATTCAAATATTTTATTTTCATATATTATTAAACTGTCTGTAATAAATGGAGACTCCAAATCATGTAATAATTGAACAAAATGTAGAAGCTTCAATAATGATATATCTTCTCTTATAAGAAAATATACAATTTTTAAAACATCAACTATATATGCTTCACTTTTTTGTATAGATTTTGTTAATGCTTTATCAGCTATCTTTTTAGCAGCTTCAAGTCTTATTGCATCTATATATTAATCAAAAGATCCTTTAACAAAACTTTTTCAGTTAAAATTTCTTGATCTTACCAAAAATAGATTTGAATTTCTTAATTAATAATGGTTAACAATATATACATATTAAACTTAATATTTATTTTACCTGTACTGCCAAAAACATTTAATTTTTTATGAACTATACAATATTTGCAAAATATTCATTGAGATATTTTGTCATATTGAAGCCATTTAAATTTGGAAAGCCAAGAGTCTTAAAAATTAGATAACTTTTAATTTTTTTTACACTATTAGATGATACCAAAAGTGTGGCAACTTAGTAAAGTAGCGAAGTTGTTATACCCCCAAATGGCAGAATCAGAGTTCAAATTCCATCAATAACAAAAATTCGAATTTTAGAATATGTTACGACAAACTGTGAGTGTAATTGGATAGATTAGAATCTGTAATCTGGTCATACCAACTTATACTGGAAGGCTGTGAAATAGTAGTATAATGTATAAGTTACACAAAACCTGAGTGAAATGACTGTAAAAATCTAGAGTCAGCACACACAGAAGCTCACTTGGCAAGATCTGAATAAAGAGGTAGCACAGATCTTTGACAGTACTATATAAAGGATTATTAAACAAAAAATTGGAAAACTGATCAGATTGAAGTATTTGGCAAGACACTTCACCAACCTGACTGCCAGAGAGTAACTGGAGGAAAAGGACTCAACTGTGAGAATCAGGAGCAGGTCACAGCCCTTTTAGACCATTTGGATTGGAAGTTTGAAATGACGAATATATGGCATATAGTCTGTATAATGGGTGCTAGGGTTTGGGTGAACTCTATAAGGGTGGTAGTAGGTAACTGTAGCGACCTCAGCTCACAAGTACTTGTTCTTGAACTTAGCATAAGTTACCAAAGAAGACTAGGTAATATGATAATAGTAGGTACCAGACTGCTCTAGCAGGTAATGCACTCAAGGATGAATCAGTTAATTATGCCGATAGTTCTATAGGTGGACATGCGATGATCTTGAAACTTGGATTGACTTATGTATCATATGTTCCGGGTAAGATTAAATGGATTGGCATAGAAAACTCAGATCAAAGGGTTTAATTGGGTAACTCAAGTAATGGTGGGTTATAAATACGGCATCTAGTATAGAACCTAGTAATAGGTAGATACTTAATTGGTTGCTCAAAAGGTGCAGATATAGCTAGAATGTATCCTCGTCATAATGTACTTGTCTGGGGCCCCCTTGAAAAGGGCACCATATGATTCTATAATCTAATAAAAGCAGGAAGCCAAAGAGGCTAACCTTAACTACAAAAAAAAAAAAAAGAAGATTACACCACTTGATCACTTTGATTACTTAAATCACTTTCATAATTTTGTATATTTTCATTAATAATTATATCACCACTTTGGTTGCTTTCATCTTTGTCACTTTCATAATCGCTTTGATTATGATCCATCAATCAAAATTATTTTTTTAATAATATGATAATAGTGTTCAATATTTATATATACACATATATTATATATTATATCATCGGAAAATTATTACATATGATATCATTGATTATTTTATTAATTTAAGAATGGAAAATTTCTGGCTGCTGAAAAGTCAGGCCGGAAATTGTCACGTGTAAACGGAAATTTCCGAAATTTTACAATAGGATTTGTCCTGGGACTTTTCTTTGAAACCCATTCGAGCAATGTTTGGAAACACATACATAAACTAGGTTTCAAAATCTGTTTTAAACTATTTATATACATATACTGTTAATTATATACGCTTAAACATGTTAGTATATTTATTTATTATATAGTATAAGTATATGATAACTTATGTATACGTACATTTTGCTTGATATTTATTTCATTTTTTTATTAGTCAAACGTTACGTTATCAAAAAAATTTGAAAGTATTCTTTTTTTTGCGTTAACGATCTGTAATATTTTAAAAATAGCATCACTATTAAAGATAGATTTAGAAGCGATTATCAAATTATCTTTCAGCTTCGTTTTAGTCTTTGACGATCATTGATTCTGCTCGGTAAAGAAAAAATCTGATAAAAAAAATCATAATAAATTGAAGATTGAGAAAGTAGATTAAAAACCCAGAGAAGAAGCTCGTAAAAAAAAAGTTTAAAATGGCAAATAGTGTGTAAAATTAGTCTTTTTGTCGTTTAAACTTTTTTTACACATGAGCATGAGCGTGGCCATTATTGAAGTGAAATGAAAAGAAGCGACTAGTGCATGATCATGATCATGATCGGTTTCCTGTTTTATACCAAATTTGCCACAAATAGGCTAAAACAATGCAATTGCGTAGCACAAATTTGAAAGCATTTTTTTTTTTGTGCTAAAAATCATGCCTTCTTGCAATAACTTGTTAGTGTAAGTGGAGTCGATTCTGATAGACAAATATTGTATCATTTATTGTCATGCGATTTTATTGAAATACGCTATGTAGTGATATATATTGGGTATTAAATATGGGTTATTCTTTAATGAAAGGTTAGAAAAATTTTTTCAAACCTAGAAGATGGATTCTGAATCAACTGCTATTGCTGTGGTCATTACTGAGTCATCATATATTAAAGGATTGAGATTCGAAGTTGACGTTGTCGAATTGCTAAAGAGTCTTGGTGTTGTTGTAATTCATGTAAGGTGAGTTTCTCATTGAGTGTTTGTTGAATTATTGTATATCTGAAAGTACGCTGCCACATCGGTGTAAAAACATCTGAGAGAGAATTGAAAGCGCATCGTGGCTGACTGCTTTGACAGTTGAACGTTCTTTTCTCTCAGTTTCTCGATGTTCCTGAAAGATGATAGACACTGTCAGAAATTAATGATTATTAATGATGAATAGGATATACGCTAATTACCGAAGGCACTTATCGTAGAATATTCCAGCGTGCATTCTTTAATTGTTAATAATGATGACACATTCACTCACTTATTATGATTGATAGGGGTGGAGCGATGGAGGAATAGACATAATTGCATGCTCGAGGAGATCAAGATCGTGATACAGTGCAAGAATTGGAGTCATCCATTAGGTTTGTTTTAAATATTAATGTTTTAAAAAAGAATATATATTAAATTATATTTAATATAGGACCCTCCATTGTTCGAGAGCTTAAAGGCATGGTGTGTGAAGAGAAAAAAGGTACAATCGGTATGTTAGTGGCCCCACCTTACTTTTACAGATGAAGCAGTTGATACGGCCCATGAGTCCAAGTTTAAAATCATCTTAACCGACATATATCCCATATTCTTAAAATCATCCTCCATCTCACTCTCGATTCCCTTCAAAATAGACCTTTTCAATTTTCATTTTATCATGACCTTGTCACTTGTTCTTTACCCAAGCTCAAAAGTGATTTACTTAAACTATACAAACTTATATTTTCAGTTTTGTATTCTAACCAGATTAGCAAAGCAAGAATCCAAAATTTTTATTTTTTTGATATATCAACCAATAGAAATCCTTCACACATATTATGTAACCAAAACAACAGTTTTAATTTTTAATTTCACTCTAATTTTTTTATATTGACCTATCATCATATGAGTATTGCCTAAATGCTAATCAGCAATATATTGTATAATGCATATTTATTTTATTAGCACTTATATGCAACTTGAACTAGACTATGCTTGATTTTACTTCAAAAAAACCTCATTTATATATAATTGTTACACTTAATCTTTCTAGTATAACGGCCAAAATCATTAATTAAAATCAAATCGTTATAATTATTGACTAAATAAAGATACAATTAAGAAATGGTATAAAGTTGGGATTTTTGTAGTAGAAAGAGTCCAAAACAAATATGATTTTGAGATAATCAAGTTTGGGTTATGTGCAAGTTTTCTAAATTTAAAATGATTATTTTCTTAATGTGATTTATTATAAATTGATTATGTGCGACTTATAAACCAGTTTTAGCAATACCTATACGTATACGTATAAATTGTATAGACTGTACGTAGTCTTAAAATTTGTATTTCACAACATAAATTTTTACTAATCAAAGCTATTTTTAATTTATCACTAGTAAGAATATTTTTATTTCACTCATCCATGTTTTGTAAGATGCTCTTGTATTGTCACGGGCGAAAGTAACATTTCTGAAAATAAATAATAAAGATAAAACAGAGCAAAAATCCCATGAGTAAATAAATAGGACACGAAGATTTTAACCTTCGGTATGATACATGAGGCTTGTCGGCCGAATTGATAATATCGGCCGAGTAAACAGACGCGAAGCTAAAACATTCTCAATGAAAGATACGCGTGGCAGTATGTTGGAATTCTAAGCGAAGAAGCATTAAGAAGGGATAGTCAAAGCCTACTTTAAAGAAGTTATTTAAAAAGCATAACATCGAGTGCAGTTGGTTACGACCTTTATGTGCGGGGAAGGAGCACGTAAGGATCACTATAATAAACTTATTACAAGACCTAAATCACCATAGTGACGCCTCTGGCGAGTTGCCTTACCTATTTCCTCTAATTCATATTATCGTTATATGTGTCCAATTTTGGCCTAGTATAAAATTTGATTCAATAGTTTTAAGCTATTTCTTTTGTTGTAAGAATATTGTAGGCGTTTAACAAGATCAAGCGCCTACACATAAACTCACCAGTATCAAATGTAATTATATTCATTCCAAAGTTTATTGTCCACCGTTGTATTTAGTGTCGATCGAAACAGCATAATATATTTATTCTATAGGTCACGACCAAATCCTAGACATAGGAGACCCAACTTTATAATCATAATCAATTAATATTTTATTAAAGGGGTCACCTATACTGTTAACTTTTTTTTATTCAATATTATATGTGAGAAACTCAGATTGTTTACCTCAATCCAAATTACCCATCACTGCTTAAAGAAACTTATAGGTAATGCGTGTTTCATATTTAATCATATGAATTCGCTCATAAGTATTTAAGTTTCTTTGCCTAGTAAAATTCCAAATCCGTTCGCATATTATTAGATAAAAAAAATTTTTAGCATGTAAAATTTTTACTGGGTATTCGGGTTGTGTGTCAATAAATTTTTAAATAAAATTTTATATTATTAAAAAAAATATATATATATATTTTAAAAAAATTAAAATCATCGCCGGGTCATTGAGGTTAGTTGGTGATATGAAAACCGATAGTATAAGTTTGTATGACCTTATTAGAAAAAATCTTTTTAAAATTAAAATCCGGGTCGGCGGGTCACAAGAGGTTAGTTGGTGATATGAAAACCGAAATAAAAATTTTTTATACCTAAAATTTTTTTTAAAAAGGACCAGATGACTGGGTCTATTTCGGGAATTTTGATGAAAAAAGAAATTACTTTTATATGGTCTTATATAAATTTTCGAAAAAATTTATTTTCTTGATCAAACTAATATGGCCATAAACTCGATTGAAATTCACCAGCTTTAGCTCTAACTTCATATGAATCAATATGACTTTATACTTCATTATTGGCTGTAGAGACAAAATATTTAAATAGATAAATTAAGATTATTATCTTTATAGCTGATAGATTAGTAAATTAAAATTATTAAATACACATTAAATACATACATGAAGTATTATTACAATTGTCATCAGAAATCGAAAAATCGAGAGTGGTAGAATCTAAAAAATCAAAAAGTAAAAATCTACCGATTAAAATTGAACATATATATGATAATAAGAGATTATTTACCATAAATCTTTAACAAATTTGCAGGTGAAATAAATGAAGAATTAATTGGTTTAGAAAGGTTTTTAAAGTTAAGCAGTTTACTTGTAAGTTTATCTTTAGGACAAACTGGCAGTTCGGTTGACAATGCTGGAATAATTGCATCTGCAGACTGGAATGCTTTTAATATGGCCAATTCCTCTTTGTTTTCCACACTACTACTATATAATATCTTATACCATCTCGATAACTCTTTACAGATATCAGATGCAGTTGGTCTATTAGAAGGAACAGCATCCATACATTGATTCGCTAATTGGATATAGCACTCAGGAGTGTCCTTAGCAAATTCAGGGCGCAAACCATTACATATTTTTATAGCTAACGTTTCATCATATTCAAACTCATAATGAGGAGGTCTTCCCGTAGACATCTCAGCCATAATAATACCAAAACTATAAATATCAGCAGCTGTTGTATATGGAAGTTTATTTAACACTTCTGGTGCAACATAAGGTAAAACGCCGTAAATAGCATCTTCTAAATCAGAATCATCATTCTTTCTAGATAATCCTAGGTCCGCAATATAAGATATTAGATCACCATTGATATGTTGATTTTGTAATATATTTCCGCTATGAAAATCTCCATGAACATATTCTGCTTTGTGTACTTTTATTAGATTTTTCGATATATCAATAAGTTGCTTTAATTTACTTTTCCAATTAAGCACTTTGAAATTTAAAGATAGGAAATTATGAAGACATCCTCTA